TTCTGGGGGGAGGGGGGGGGGGATTCCGCTCGAGACGGCGAAACCGGCCTTCCTCTTTGTGACCGAGACGCAGGTGTCCCTCCGGTTGATACGTAGGTCACTCAATAAGTTTTGAGATGCTCGAAATTTAAAAATGGAACGCAACCGTGTTATATGTTTCTAAAAAGAAAATTTATTTAAAAATAGAACTCCATAAACCAAATCAATATTTCAAAAAAAACCAAAGTTCTATTAATTTTCCTGCATCGCTGACCCTTGGCTTGACCCTTTTTTACTGAAAACGAGGCATTCCATCTTAGTCCTCACGGGTCAGAACGCATCTGCATTTTGATTCGTAATCGAGGATAGATGTAGATGTCTATGGGCCACAGCAACCACTTACCATCAAGTGGACTGTGTGCTCGTTTGTCACCCTAATTCTATATATAAAAAGAACGCTTCGCGCGCTTTTCATTTAAAACGATTTTTTTTTATAGGATAAGGGTGACAAACGAGCACACAGTCCACCTGATGGTAAGTGGTTGCTGCGGCCCATAGACATCTACATCTATCCTCTATTACAAATTAAAATGCAGATGCGTTGTCACCCGTGAGGACTAAGATGGAATGCCTCATTTGCAGTAAAAAGGGCCTCCGGCCACCTGCACTCACCAAACGAAACGCAGAGGTAAACCTCTACTTCACGCTGGTATTCTGTGAGGTCGTGGTACCACCCCGGTTCGAGCCGGCCCATCCGTGCGACAGCAAAAGCTGACGCGTGGCTCTACCACTGTTAACGATGGACCTTAACCATGAACATTTGCGCGCTATGTTATATTATGATTTTAAATTTGGTTAAACCGAACAATTAAGTTTACAACGGTTACAATCAGCATTAGGGGACTCAGCTCCATCACGCGCAACAATTTTAAGGTGTTCGCTGAATTCAAAAGGGGTAAAATTAATCTTAAAGATGACCAAAGAACGGGGGAACAGCAGTAACGGCAGAAAATGTATGGACTACTGAAATGTTGGTGCGAGAAGACCCACGAATCACATATATGGACATCGACAAGATTATAGGCATTAGTTGGGAGAGCATTCGTACCAACCTACATCAACATCTTGGAGTGAGGAAGCTACGTTGCCGATGGATCCCTCGTCTCCGAAAGCGAAAAAGAGACTCGTGTGGATTGGTGCCATGAATTGCGTCTACGTTTTGAAAACGGGGCATCTAGGCGTGTTTCAGAAATCGTTACTGGTGACGAGACATGGATCTTACAATATGATCCGGAAAATAAAAGGCAATTATCGGTATGGGTCTACTCAGAAGGACAGTTACCGACAAAACTGCAAAGACCTTGCAACGTCGGCAAAAAATGGTGGCTAGTTTTCATTCATTCAGAGCGGACATTTATCGACGTCAATGCTGGAAAATTGTAGGTCAGTCAACTCTGAATGGTATACTACAGTTGCATTACACAAAGCTTTTCAAGCTGTGCGGGAGAGAAGACGAAAGACCGGGCTTCGGGGAATCATGCAGCATCACGATAACGCTTCTTCACATACCTCCCTTAGAACAAAAGCATTTATTGAGAAATCTGGTGTTGAAACTCTAAGTCACCCACCCTACAGCCTTGAATTAGCTCCTTGTGATTTCTTTTTGTTCCCAAGAGTCAAAGAAAAAATAAAAGGCAATTTTTTATCAAGCACCGAAGAAGCCGTGGCTGCCTACGAAGAAGCAATTTCCGACCTGTCAGATCAAGACTGGCAAAAGTGTTTTCAGAGTTGGTTTAGGCGAATGGAACTTTGTATAGAGCATGATGGAGAATATTTTAAAAAGATGTAAAATAAATATTAATAGTATCTAGAATACTTTTTGTATATCTTAAAACTTATTAAGTGTTCTACGTACTTCGTATCTCTCCTACCCGGGGTACAAATTGAAACACTCCTTTGTGCCTCGGGTTGGAGTTTGCGTTTATATCAGAGAGGACATCTGTTCTGGACGCATTTGCAGTCTTGAAGATTCGGACCTGTCCATCCTTTGGCTACGCGTAGACAGCGACGACAATTCGCGTGTCTACTTATATACTATAGGTCCCATAAATTTTGTACGTGGTAGAGCCATGCTGCAGCTATATTAGTAGTATAGTTGTAGCACGAATGGGTCGGCTCGACCGGGGCTGGACCACGCTCTCACAGAATACCAGCGTCAAATAGCAGCTTAACACTGCTGTGTTTCGTATGGTGAGTGTAGAGTACCGGAGACCCTTTTTACTGGAAAAGAGGCATTCCGTCTTAGTCCTCACGGGTGACAACGTATCTGCATTTTGATTCGCAAACGAGGATAGATGTAGATGTCTGTGGGCCACAGCAACCACTTACCATCAGGTGGACTGTGTGCTCGTTTGTCACCCTATTCTATAAAAAAAAATAAAAAATATAACTGTAATTCCGAAACAGACCGACTCGTGTACTACGTCCAAATGGCTATACATTCCTTGCTACAGCAAATCCCATCCGCAGATAGCGTGATCCTCGGCGATTGTAACGCCACCACGCCGAATGGCTCGGTTTACGTTTAACTGATCATGCGGGTAGATCTATTGATAATTTTGCCTTAAGATGTGGTCTGGCACAACTGGTTACTTTGCCTACGCGGATTCCAGATGTGGAGGATCATGCAACTTCCCTGTTGGACCTTCTGCTGACCTCTCATTCGGATAGATATCAGGTCTCCGTCCACTCCCCTCTTGCCTCCTCGGAACATAGTCTATTCCGGATTGTGGTGGCACTCACACTAACATCGCGGTTGCATTCTGCAGGCTGGCTAAAAAAGGCAACCGCTCAGACCCATATAACTACAGGCCTATCGCCATCAACTCCTTACTCTCCAAAATAATAGAATCCATTATAAACTGCCAGCTCATGCGGTACCTTAAGGATCACCAGCTGATTATTGACTGCCAATACAGTTTTGGTAGGGGTCGATCTTCTGGTCTACCTGACTCATAGATGGGCAGAGGCAGTGAGTCCAAGGGGGAGGTATTGGCCGTAAATTTGTACATTGCGAAGGCCTTCAATCGCATTTGGCACAAAGCGCTTCTTTCGAAGCTCCCTTCCTATGGGCTTCCCAGAAATTGTGCAATTCGATCACCAGCTTTCTTGCAGATTTGAGCATCTCAGTTTCAAGCTTTCAAGGCACTCCCCTTGTTGCCTCAGCCAGTATAGGAATCCTCGGCGTCGACATATCGAGTGACGTGCAGTTTCGTGGTCACTTGGAAGAGAAGGCCAAATTGGTCTCTAAAAAGCTTGGCATGCAGGACAGTATTTCATGCCGGCACATGGTCTGCAGCTTTACAAGACGCAGGTTCGGCCGCACATGCGATACTGTTCCCATTTCTGGACTGGGATTCCCCAGGGCTTTATTAAAAAATATAAAGCTGTTTTGGTAACAACATTATGGTCTTCTTTAAGTTATTTTTAAAGAAATCTCGCCCTGATAAAACTACATTTATGGCCCACGGCCGGCCATGCCACACCTCCACGACTGAAGAAATTTTCAGGCCACGCCGCCACCGTGGAAGTGGCCTTTGGTGCTCATATCTAGTTGCCAGTGATGACATATTGATCTAAGATATGGTCCTTCATTGCTGACCGTATAAGGAAGCTCAAGGATAAAATATCATTGCAGAAAATACCCTTGTAATTTCTGCAATGATATTTTATCTAAGTTACAAGCAAATTAAATAAATAAACTATCTTTGATATGCTTGGTTCCTACTTTGTACCTTCATCTTGTGACTTCATGTCATTGCACATGACCCTTTTTGGCTCCATTGGATCAAGGAGTTTGGTGTGAAGTCCTCTTGTGAAGAAAGGGGGTTAAAGATCCAGTAGTTTAAGAAAAAAGCTTCTTTTTATTTATTACCTTCTGGTAAGCATCTTATTAGCCGCACCTGAACCTACTGCCACTAATATTACTAGAGAGATGGTAACATATTTTTAGGCAACTGCACAAAAAGGAATTGTTTTACAATGCAACTGTACATTATTTCTTGAATATATGTTATGCAATATCTTCGTAAATTATGGATCAAACTTGATGCTTTTAATTTGTTTCAAATGGGTTATACTTCACGAGTGGTACACATATTTTGAAGGAAAAATTCTGAAGTTTTTAATATATGTAGCTATTTAGGTAGATGAGATTGTGATATTCCTTAGTCCACTCAAAGGGTAAAAATAAATATGTCTTAGCATACTCTTCAGAACTTCAGTTCATTGAAGACAAGTTTTACTTTTTTTAACATAATTTTTTTACAAAGTTAACAGAAGTCATAGTTATTTTATTAATAACTCTGAATTTACTATGAATAAATCAAATATACCTATGTTTAAGCAAACATCCCGCTAAACCCTCATAGCTGGATAAAATAAATTATTCATCCTGTTATAATATATGATATAACAATATTATTGATATTTGTACATAAACTATATTGATAAATGCACATTGACTATATTAAAGATTACTTATTACGCTTTATAACATTTTTTGCTCATTACAAAATATTTCATGTATCTTTTTGACACATTTATTAAATTATACATATACATATGTAGTTTAACATGTTTGTCATAACATAACATAAATATAAATTCTATTCTATTATATTATTAGTCCCATGTTGATCTGGGACTTATAAGTCCTACTTTTATGTATGGCTTATAATAAAAAATAATGTGCCAGCTGTGTTACTTGCTTAGCATTTTGTAAAAGCAACTAATGGGATATTGGGTATGTGATTGTGTAGGTGATGATCTAGCCACTTCACAATTTTCCATGAAAATTCAAAACCTGAATGTTTAGGCTAAACATGGTCCAAGTAGCTAACTGCTCTTTGCAATCTGCCTACCCGATTTCGATATTTCTATTGATTGAACATTTTGTACAGTTAAGCCCTAAATACAACATTGATGGTAAGCTAACAATACAAAATAATTTTTGTTATTACCTCTTATACATAACTATTTGGAATAACCCAAATACAAGAAGAAATCCTCCAATGAATATCGCAGAAACTGTTTCCATAAAACATTGTGATATTCCATGGTCTACCCATATCTCCGTCAAGGTTACGTTCGGTGGGCAATACTCCATTTCGAACTCTGAAAATGTTTCTCATTTTTATTCTCATAAAAAATATATGTTTATTACTATAGTAGTTATACAATGCAAATTGACTTACTAAGTGCCTGACACTAATTTATTTTAAATATTACAAAAACTGCGTTGTAAAAAGTGAAATAACTTTAAACAAAATATAAATACTCACGTCGCGAATTGCCAAATGGCAAACCGCAAAATAAATGTATCTACACGTATTATAATAACGTGTAGTATTACTAATAGCACGTTTGATCAGTGGTCAGTACTGCAATTCATGAAGAACTTATCAAAATACCTAAATCACCATATCACCATTATAATCAAACTCAAACAATACAACATTGACAAGTTGACAATTATTGACAGTTACAGGGCTGCTAGTGGAATCAGTTGATTTCTACTGCTAGGTCCTCGAAATTAATAAGAATTAAATGTTATACTTAATAATTAAATTAAAAGAACTCTACAAAAGATGAAAAGATGCTCTAAAAAATGAAATTACTATTAATATTTACTTTTAATGCAAACGAATACACCCCAGAGAGTACATATTTACTATTTTATTTGACAGAGAGGTGCCATTTTCGACTACATTAAAATAAGCACGTCGATCAAGTCAATTCATATTAACTTAAGTTCTTACTTGTATTGATGGCGAGTAACATAAAGCATTTCTCTATTATTTTTTAATAGTGAATTACGGAAAAATTGTTGAAATGTGATGTAACTGCGTGAATTCGGTGACCCTGGTTCTAGTGCAAATTATGTTCATTGCCATTTCCTTTTATTTTAAATATTAAGTGGATCAAAACACCGGATCAATTCATTGAATTTAATAAGTAGGCCGCCCAATCAAACCAATTTATGTAGAAGTTACTTTATCTAAGTTTAAGAATCGATTCAATTGTGGTTTCGATATTTCCAGGAATCGTTAAAATGAATAAACTTAAATGTTTAAATGTCCATATTCTTTCTCAAGATAAAAATGTGAGTTTTAAGATAAGAGCAGAGAATACTCAAGAACAATAAAAACTCAATGCAAACAAGACACAACCTTGTGTCTATGTGTATATAGCACGCACTTGGATATGTGTCGGAGCGTCTATAAAATACCCGGTAGGATCGAGGTGGAAGTGAGGGTATATCGAGAAACCCCCACTTGAAGTGGGATCTCCTGTTGTAATTTTCCGTGATATGGATATTGAATTGGATATTAATCACGATTATTCTAGCATTTTCCATTGAAAAGGGGAAGTGCTTAAACTTCGTCCGTTTGAGCATTTCCCTTCCTAAGATTTAGATTATTCTATAATTGCATATTAAGAACATCTGCAATAAAGCCTAGCGATTTCGGGTTACGTTAATGTACAATATATATTTGCTGTATCTGTTGAAGAAATAAATTCATTTCTCATCCCTGTCGATACTTTTACTCAGAATTATAGAAGCTAATCTGTTATAAAAACACGACACATGTTAAGATAATCATATTATATACATTTTTTCCCAGTTTGTAAATTATACACATTTTTTAACCAAGTCATACGATATGGCAACCTTGACATTTGAAATTAAAAAGATTAAAAATGACATGAATGGTTTCATTTAGACACAGAATTTAGACCATAGGGCCTAGTTTAACAGTTACGTTCTTCCACAGATTTTGTTCACAAAATTCTTCACAAGTTTTAAGATTTTGATGGTCTCTTTATATAATACTTTACCTTCTAAATTGTTACTTTGCTATAAAAATTTCAAAGAGTTCAAAAATTCTTCATAATGTGTAATTCATGTTTTCGTCTTCACACAGCAGTTTTTTGAGTAATAATATAGAGGATAGAAAACTAATAAGCGTTAAAACTCCCTCACTCATTCAAGCAGTATAAAGTACGGGTCGCTAGTAAGTTACGTAAGATAATTAGGTCATTCCACCACAGATTAAATAGTTTTACTACGTAACAGGTACATCACTCTCATACAAAAGCAAAAATACCTTCGCTGTAATAGCCTACAAAATTTTAATAATAATCCCAGACGTTAGCTGCAAGCAGGAATATACCTTCTACACGCGTGCCGAGAGTTGAGGATGCTTTGCCCACCGCGTGACATTCATATGGCTACGTCATCGAGCAAACGCGCAAAGGTTGTGCAAAGATGATAAAATAAAAGACTAGAAATAATGAAATAATTACTTTATTTATTTGATCATGAAATATGTTTGAGTTTTATAAAATGATAAATAGTTTTATTTCTTTATCTGAATTATCTGTTATTAAACTTAACCCCATTGATAATTGCAGCGCTAAGGGCCGCGGGTTCGAATCCCACACGGAACAAGTATTTGTATGGCCTACAAGTAGTTGTTCCGTGTCTGGATGTTTGTCCTGGAGAAATTTATGCACGTAAACTGCCCCCACACAAAACCCTAGTGTGGAGGTAACGTTTTTTTAAAAAAATCTGTCCGTCTTGGTAATTCCTTTAGTAGAAGCAAAAAACGTGATGCCGCAGCGGGACTGCCCTTTGTCACATTGTGATGGGCAGTCATGATCAGTAAGATTGTCACAAAGAAAGGGTCATTTAGTTGTTTTGAGAGTAATTTCAGTAGATTTAGAAAGATTATAGGATTTAATGTGGTTAGAGTTTACGTCATTTTTCCTTCAAGAATTACTACGTATGGTATAGTTTTACTACATTTTTATAATACCTTTGTGTAATAAAATTAGCCGAAGAGAATACACAAATTTACATTAATTTCTTGACTTTCAATATAAGTTACGATTATTATTATTCGATTGTTTATACTTTTTCTTATATTTTTATTAAGCTTAAGACATAATATTCCACTCCTTACTTTTTGTCGTATCACTATAATATACACTGAATGTATTTATATGCAAGCTAAAGAGTGCTGCGTTAGTGAGTATGAACAGTAAGCATAAGTATGCACAGTTTCGAAATTGCAAGGTGGATGTTATTAGTCATGAAAATTCACGCGCGTTAATTGTTTCTCTCGACAGTATGTATTTGAATTCTAAGTTATCATGGTGAAATGTCCAGTGCCAATCTGTAAAAATGATTCACGGAAACAAACTAAGAAGAACAATGATATTTCATTTCATAGGTATGTCATATTTCAATAAGAAAACTCTGATTTTAACACAATATTTTTAACCCCCGACGCAAATAGAGGGGTCTGTCTGTCTGTGGGTATGTCTGTGAAACCGTAGCTCTTAAACAGGTGCATAGATTTGAGTGTGGTATTTTTTGTTTAAAAGCAAGTTTTTTAGCGATGGTTCATTAACATGTTTTATCAAAATCGGTTCAGCCGTTTGAAGATCATCAGCACTCTCTGTTACGGGTTTTTTTTATTTTTTACTTAAGTTATTTTAATAACGTGATTTTTATTGTAATAATTTTATTCTAGAGATATTAGAAGTCAAGATCCTTTGTATTCCATATGGATCAATGTCTTAGATAAAACTTTTAAGGGCTTTGTTATATAGGAACATAACTTAATGCAATTTTTTTGCAATTCAATGCAAATTTGCAAAAACAAGACTTATCTAAGTTAATAGTATACTTTATAAATTGTGGTAGAGGTAGAAGTGGTTATATATATTTATCAAATGACGTATTAGACATTTGTATAAAAGCGGAAACAATAATTTTAACAAAAACATATCTTCCAAAGAAATGGTAATATTATGATTCTAAGCTTAATTACTGATACCTTGAAGTTATTTATAGGAAAATATATTTTTACGTGTCTTAATGAACACATTCCATCAATCGCAGCCACCATTTGGTTTATTTTTATTTCCTAAATACTTACCTATTACTTTTATTAATTGAAAGTATAAATCCAAATTTTATAGTAAATTAAATTTACACATAGACATCAATCATGGCGCATCACTATTCAACCGCTGTATCGGTATCTATAAGACATTCCCCTACGTTTGGCATAACGGGCAATGAATGGTATGCGCGTTCTATAGCTTACTTATAAATATTCTAAGAAAATTACCTTTATATTTAAGGTAAGAGACGTTTGTTTAACCGATTCGTTGTGGCACCAATTTTAGACAACTTTTAGCTGTGGCGGCGAACAAATATTTCATGACACGCCTGGCACAGACATTGATGACACGCCTATTGTGCCATCAGCCATGTGTAAAAATAATTATCTCTTTTTTATGTTTTTTCACTTGTTTAAACCTGATTAAGTATAGTTGACATCAAACATCAGTTACAAACGGAAGGATATTTGTTATTAGTGTGTAACTACGTGGTTTTCTACGTGTTTTCTTTGAAATTGAGAGTAAGTGACTTTTTTATGCAGATATTACAAACATTTTGTACTATTTTTGTTTTATAATTTTTTTTTAATATAAGTAGGTACAGCGAAATCACCCTGGAAAACCTTGGTTTTTATTAATATAAATTTTAACCTAATAATAATATTTGTAAATATCAAACAATCAAGAACCTTAATTTGGAAAAAATAAGGTTTATGATTCATTAATTTTTACAAATGTTAAATATTATTTAATGTTATACAAATGTAAAAGTAAAGTCGATTTGAAAACGTCTAATTAGTAAGAATAGCAAAACAAGTGATTTCAAAAGGAAACAAACGCCGGCGCTATACGACGGCGGATTGACGAAAGACTATTTATTAGCGAACTTTTTTATGCCTGAACGGTTTCAAACTGTTACAAACAAAAATAAAACTTATACCATATCACAAGAGCACATGGTACTTCGTAGGTCTATTCGGCCATATGATAGTAATAAGACGGCAGTTCAACCATTTTAAGCAAAATTAAACAATAAGACAAATGCATTGTTTTTTTTTAACAGGAGACTGGTTTTCCAGAAATTTATTTACAACTTGAGTTTGTGAGCGATCACAATGAGTGCTATTATTTGTTACTTATTAGACTATTTTCCACAACATGATTGAAAACCCACAAAGTAAAAAGAGTACCATGTACAAGTTAAAAAAAGGTTGTCAACCCCTAAAAATATCAAAATTTCAAAATATCCAGAAACGAAGCTGCATGCATGAACTACTCGCAAAATAATAAATATTTTGTTCTGGATAAATTTTCCAAAAACGCAATTTGAGCGAGTTATAACGATTTTAAAAAAGATACGACTCGTGTGTCATACGCCACACACAAAAGTAATCGATGGCACACCTGACATGTCATCCGCACTGAACCGGTTAAGTTTTTATTTTAGCTCTTGTTTACGATTTTCATGGTCTTGGATTTAGAGAAAATATGGAATTTTATTAACATAACCTGTGAAACAAAATGCACCTCAGATAAGGTTGTACGGTCTTGTAACCTTTGCTTATTAATTGGCGAATTGTAATAACAACAATAGTCTATGGATGATCTGAAGTCTGAACCGAAGTGACGTATCGCAGACGGGTGATGGCGGATTTGGTCAGCCGTTTTGATGATCATATCTTTTATAAAATGTCTTTACTAAACAAAAAGGTGATAAAGTAACAGCTCATAAAAATCAAATGACTTTCATCAAGCATATCTTTTTGTGCCCCTATGAACCCCTTACATTATTATGAGAAAGGATTAGTGTCAAACCCCATTAACAAATGGTGTATTAAATCAGTGGGAAGTCGTCATGTGAAGAAGGTTATGACTTTTAGTTTTGAATTAAAGTGGGTTTAAAATTGTGTTTGTGTTGTGGACGAGTGACACATTTTTTTCTGGTAAAAATATTAATTCAGTATCAAAATGGCGGACCTCGAAGCAGTGCTGGCCGACGTCAGCTACTTAATGGCAATGGAGAAGTCAAAATGCACTCCAGCAGCACGAGCAAGTAAAAAAATCGTGTTACCAGATCCAAGGTAATGACCCTCATCAATATGCGACCTCTTGTCTAGAGAAAGTCATTATTGTTTACAATAGAACGTTTCTTATTTACTCGTTCATATTACAAGTTGTCATATAAGTACTAAACATTCTTGAGCTACTTGAACTTCAATAAGAATTTACAAGTTGAATGTTGAATTAAGTGAAATATCTACTAAAGTTAAAATCTTCCATTAAAGTGTTCCTGACAATGTTTTGGTTAAACAAATTTACAACAAAAAAATATTTTTAATACCTCTGTAAACATCATGGTTCTACAGTGATCAAAGCTTATGGACTTAGAAGTCACTTTTAGGTACATTTTTAGCGAAAAGGCACTTTGTAGTATATAATGGGATAATTTTTTTATTCAATATAGATTACAAGTACCTAATTCTTATTGAGTCGTTTTGTTTACTTTAAAAAAAGTACTAGAGGTATTTTCCAAAAGAATAAAGCCAAAAAAGTTTCTGGCAAAAACCAGCAAGAAACCTACCAGAATGTCTTTTGAAAATAAAATTTTGCAATAATAAACATGTGTACAATTACAAAACGTATCAATCTATCAAATATCAATACATAGTAGATATATATATCAACTATGTCTTGATTTATATTCTGTTAACCCGTTTTATGCAGTTTAAATTTGGTTTTAGAGAGAACTTTTATATTATGGGACTTTGTTTTAAAAGCATATATTTTTTTATAACAAGGTCCCAGAAAACATACAATTACTGACGTGGAGTCCTGTAACTGATATTACACAATGTATGTCACTTTTTTATTTAAACTACCTTAGTTTTTGTGAACATACATTAAATGCCCATAAGTATATTAAGAGGCCAAAGTTAATATACTTATAATTAAAAAATTTGTCTGCGAAACCTTTTCAATTTTAGGTTATAAAATAGCATTTATAGCCCTCTTCTTCAAAGAAAACAATCACATTTTGTTACAGAAAAATCCCATAAAGCATAATTCTATGGAAATAACACTGTCTTAAGATTAGTGTGACTTCTTATCTTTTTTACAGCATAAACTTTAGAGCTAAATCTTCTTGTCAATTCAGATGTATGTCGCCCTGCTGAAGTTTTGTGTCAAGAGTAATATCAAGAAAAACAATGAAATCGATGAGGTGCAATTCTTCCCCATTTAATAACATATTGGTCTTCAAATTTTTAACACATAGATGTTATTGAACCTCATTGATTCCACTGTATTTCTTGATAGGGTTGATAGTGTTGTTGTAGGGTTGTAAATTATATACACTTAGCTTTATTGCCATTTAAATGTAACTTGTCAATGTTAAAGCAATATACTTTTCTTTTTTCTCTTACCATCTTTTTTCGTTTTTAACAAAGAAACATTACCCTACACTAGAATTTTCTCCTGTATCATGGGGACAGTTTACATATATAAATTTCACAAGGACTAACATCCGGACCCAAAACAATTATTTGTAGGACATACAAATACTTGTTCTGTGCAGGATTTGAACCTGCATCATAAATATAGAAATATTTATACTAATTTTGATTTATCATTTTTCACTTTGTCATACTTAAACCATTGCCATTTAAGTTTAAAAAACTAATTTGAAGATGAGGTATCATCAGCAAATAATACTACATTATAGTTATCACCTACAAGGTAAGTTATTAACATGGCCTTAGAACAGTAATGTGGTAATGAGTTGAGAATGGACCCATTGACATTAGTAATATTTTTGTGTATAAGACAATCACAAAATATACCTCAAGCATCTGAGTTCATATTAGTTCTCCCATGCCCGGGCATGGGAGAACATTACATTACATTTAATTTTATGTATAAATTTATAAAAAAAAAACTTAATATTTGTCTCAAAATATATAATATAATTTTTTCAAAATTTTTACAAAATTATAGAAATTGATAGAAGGCTTGTAGGATCTAATGTACTACCAAATTTAAATAAAGGTATGATCTTTTTAATGTTTCATGTAATCAGGGAACACACCAGATGCAATATCTGTATTAAAAACAATTGCTAGATAAGGTACATAATAGATATAGTTATATCTATTATGAACTCAATCTCAAATTGCCTATAAGCCATAAGTCTGCAGTATTTTAAACATCAGTGGTTTTGAAATGAACAATATCTTTTGGCAATACTTTATGATATTTTAAAGTTTTTGAACAAGCTTTTGAAATTTTGTATATAAGCAATATTCGGCGGCATTAAGAAAATAATTTAAAGATTTTGTTAATAGTAAAGGAATCATCATCATCATCATCATTACAGCCCACCTATACCATACAAGTCTACCTCTGAACAATAGGTCTCCCCCAATAATGCTACAAATCATGGCCCTGAGCCATCTGCATCCATCAACTTCCTGCATATCTTACCAGGTTGTCACTCCATGTAGTGGGGAGCCACCCTACACTTCGCTTACCGGTATGGGGTTGCCATTCGAGAACCTTTCTTCCCCATCGGTTGTTGGTTCTTCAAGCTAATGGCTGGCACTTTGCTACTTCAGCTTTCTAATCTGTTGAGCTATATCAGTTACTCTGGTTCTTCTGTGGATATCCTCGGTTCTAAGTTAATCATGCAGAGAAACCTCGAGCATAGCCCTCTCCATAGCTTGCTGAGCAACCTTGAAATTCCTCATATATTAAGCAGTGATGAGACAACAAATAATCTGTTTTCAAGTTTTGAGGTATACCAGATGAGAAGATGTTAAAATCCTCCGAACGCTGCTCAACAGAGTTGAATTTGTCAATTGACCTCTCAGTCAAAGAAATAAATAAGGAATCACAGTGAAATATTTCCCAAATGCCACAGTCACAGACAGAACAGATTTAGTTAAATTATTGTTAAGATTTAATTGAAAATCAGAGTTTAACCTTGCCCGTTTCACTATTATACCACATCATTTTATTTGTGCAGAGGCAGCCATAACTGTGGAGCACACTTTTTGCAATACTTAAGAATATGATTTTACATATTCTCTAAAAGTATTGCATTAAATTTATCTTTCATTAAAAAGCTCATAACCTTTTTCTATTTTTATGGATTCCTACTGTCACCCATAAATTACATTTAACTGTTTAAGGAGAATGTTTTTGAAGTAAATATTGTATTAAACTCACTACTTACAATTCTAAATAAGGCTCCATACATATAATCAGAATTATTATTGTTATATATTTCAAGTAATGGTAGTCTTTTCTATTATATTTCGTCTGTGTTGTTTACACATCACTGAACATGTAGTGCTTATAAAAATCGTTGTTTCTTAAAACTTTAATAATTTTATATTTTAATGAAGATAGATTTTTTTTTTGATAAGGGTTAAGTGTCTAGGAAATAAAATTTAGAAAAACTAATTGAAATCTATCCAATAGTTTTTCCATAATGCATGCACAACTTCAAACCTCTATCATTTTGTTTATATAGATTTCTAAACCTCTCTAAATAATGTTCATTTATTGGAACAAGCATATGTGTATGTAAGGTAATAATAATATATTTATATACAACATACTTAAAAGACATTTACCATTTGATGCTTACACTGCATAAGAGAATCCCACCCTTTGGCAAATTTGGTAAATACTAGAAAAATCTTATAGCTCCTGGTAGATGTAATATAACCATCTTGTGTGTATATATCAGATGTAAAATAACCAGACCAGTAAAAGGGACCAGTGTTCAACAAGTGATTACAATTGATACTGAGATCCCCAATCTGATTGTCAAATGTGACTATTGCCAATTTAGGCAATTTGATTGAAAAAATAACATAAGTAGAAACAATGTATTATAATTACATAAAACATTTAATACATCATTTGAAGATTGTAAAAGTACAAATTGAAGTGCCACAAGAGTTTTTCCAGTCAAAGAAGTATAGACTTCTCATAAAAAATTATTGCTTATGTAAATTACTATCATCAAAATTAAGCATAATTTCTGCAGTATATTATTTTGATTAATCCTTCATAAAATTTTGAACTTTGATTGTTGGTTTAGTGCAGTTAAGTCTAGTATTGTTGGTGTTGATTGAGTTTAAGTGTAAAGAAACGAGAAGTTTCGACTTTCAATGCATTTTTAGGGATCCGTACCTCAAAAAGAAAAAACGGAACTCTTATAGGATCACTTTGTTGTCCGTCTGTCTGTCTGTCAAGACCCTTTTTCTCAGGAACGCGTGGGGGTATCTAGCTGAAATTCATATCATATACTCAAGTCTACTGTCCCTTAGAGCTGTGAAAAAATCAAACTTCTAAGCCAACAAAATCAAAAGATACAACCGTTTATGACGCAAATTTTCAACATTCGCAAAGGAATCTAAACCTACAGGGTACTTCCCGTAAACCTAGAATCTTAAAATTTGGTACGAAGCATCGTATTATAGCACAGATAATGGAAAAATTGCGAAAAGGATAAATTTTTAGTTACATCATATAACAAAAATATTTTAAATAATTTTAAACTTATATACCTACGGATTTGTTCCGAACCCTCGGTGCTCGAGTCCGCCTCGCACTTGGCTGGTTTTTTCTACCTACTTCAAAAAGGAGGAGGTACTCAATTCGACTGTATGTTTTTTTTATGTGTTACCTCATAACTTTTTTCTGGGTGAACCATATTCGGTGATTTTTTTTTATTTGAAAGATGGTGCTTCTCATGAGGCCCAATATAATTTTGATCAAGTTCTGACCAATAGTTTTTGAGTTATTTTTAATAATTTATATTTATGTCAGTTGTACAAAACTTTTAATTTTAACATTTTGTACCAATTTCTCAGAAACGTCTGAACCAATTTATATGTTTCTTCTTTTATTAAATAGGCTTTAACTTTAGGGATGCTGCTGCCATACGAATTTGAAGAAACATCTCAGTCCCTAAGGGTGGAATAGCAGGGGATAAAGTTTTTAATTTAACTGTTTAGAAGATATTATAGTTGTTACCTTGAACTTGTGATATTCCTTAGTCAACTCAGAAGGG